AAAAAAGGAATGACAGCATTTTACCTTAATAGCTGCGTCATACTATATTGTTAAGTCGAGATGGAAGTAATACCATTTTAGCACTTAAATAAGCTTAGATTCTTGAACATGTACCGGGTTATATTTAAACAATCAAGTCTTATTAGTTAATTACTTAATAAATGTCAATTGGTAATCAACCATCAGATGTAAAAATTAATCGATAATGTAAAATTTTACACTATTAGTATATATTACTTAAATCCTATAATTAATGGTGAAAGAACCTTTAAAATAGCATTTAGCCGATTCTTATTATCATTATTAAATGAAGATGAAAGTGAAAATAAAAAGAGAACTTTGTTGATGGATAAGCACTTCAGCCTTCAATCCTTGGAGTACCGGACATAGGATTTTGTACAAGAGGTATCAAATATTGTCAGAATTTAACTTGTACATGGATTTAGGCCACACAATTTTAAAATGCCTACATCGCATGTATTTTCTAGCTGAGTAAACCAATTGTGTACGCACATTATCTTCAAGAATTTTTTAGAACTTACTGATCTTACTCTTGTCTAACTACAATGCCGTAATGATCTTTCTCCAAAATTGAATGCTTCAGCCTACTCCAAAGCCATTAAATCAAAATGAGATAGTTCCAATTAACTCGCGATTACCTTTTAAGTGACATGATTGCATTAATATTTTTTACACCATCAATGCTAAGAATTTGAACTCATAGTTTTACTACTAAAATCTGAATAGCTAAGTAAGCTTAGTACAGCTTTATTCGCACAATTAGCACAATCCAGAGCTTACTTGGCAAGTATAACCACAAAAGAAAATAAAGATTTCTGTCATATTAAACAATACTAAGCTCATCTCAACAAAATATAGAACCTAGTAGCTGCAGCTAACACTTTGAAATTAGAACGCATTCACATACCCAAGAAAAAAGAGTACTAACAGAAGATAAAAGCATTCTAACAGACTAGAATTCATCTTGACACAAAAGAAATGATTAAAAAGAAAAGCATAGAAGCACTTCAAGCTTAGACCTAAGATTATTAGATTTTCTTCAGCGCCATGCCATGCGCTACTGGGCACTGTTTGTACTTTTGAAGTCTTCAAAAAGTACTTTGGCCTTAACTCTTTGGGTTCACCACTTTTAAATCACGTCTCGATCTTCACACCTATCCTTAATTGAGGTTACACTGCCTCAGAGCAATTTTCCTACTTTCACCTTTCACCCAACACTCATCAATAAATTTCTCATTATTTTGATTTATTATGAAGGTACACATTTTACCTAGAAAATATTTAAAATCTTCATAAACTTGACTTCATTTTGACTTGTAGACTAAGGGCAGCCCGATGCACAAAGCATCTCACGTTCATGCAGGGTCCAAGGAAGTGTTGCACCCCAAGGGGATATGATGTAGGCAGTCTACCCTGATGCAAGCATCAATGGCTGATTCCATAGCTTGAACGACCTATAGTTGACACGAAGACAACTTTACCATTGGCTCCCTCTCATTTCGACTCGTAGACTACGCTGTAATTTAAATATTACAATAGAACTCCAATTTTATCTCAGTAATTATGTTTAAACCTACACATGACCTGTTGGATCTTACCATTAGAGTAAAACCCTAGGGCTCGGCTTGTACAAAAAATTATGCTACTGCCTACGCTTGCCAACTTGACATCAATGACATCGTTAACCCCCATCAAGTTATAAGCAAAACCCAATTGAATTTCAGCTGATTTAATTACACCCAGATAATAAAAATACAATCTTGATTTCAAAATTCTACTGAACCAAAACACATAATAAAAGCACATGAATTGTGTTAACAATGAAGAAAACAGTAAGTGAGAAAATGAAAAAGAGAAATAGAAAGATGAGAACCTGAGGATGAATTGTGAAGTACTCACTCCTATAGTTACTTCTCTGATTGATGGCTAATTCAGTTTTCTCAATGGGAGCTGTTCAGTGTTGAAGAAAATGAAGAGAGAGAAGTGTCCACAAAAGTATTATACACATTTGAAGTTTAAGATGGATAAATTGCAACTGCCTCCTATTTAGTTTGGTAAAACTACAGTTAGGCCCTTATATAGCTGTTATAGATTCTTTTAGAATGCCAATACCAAATGTGCCAAATTCAAGATTTTGACTAAGATGCCAATTTTTACCTTTTTATATATCAACCATTAGACAAGAGGGGTTTGCTCTGATGGTAAGCAACCTCCACTTCCAACCAAGAGGTTGTGAGTTCGAGTCTCCCCAAGAGCAAGGTGGGAAGTTCTTGGAGGGAAGGATGCCGGGTTTCTATTTGGAAACAGCCTCTCTACCTCAGGGTAGAGATAAGGTCTGCGTACACACTATCCTCCCCAGACCCCACTAAGTGGGATTATACTGGGTTGTTGTTGTTGTTGTTGTTGTTGTTGTTGTTATATATCAACCATTAATCAGTAGCTAGAGTTGGGAGATAAAATTAGAAGCAATACAGGGGAACCACAAGTAAAAAAGAGAGACATATAAAGATCAATATTGTCATTTTGATTTAGTTTTAAACTGGTATAATACATAAACATGCCCTCAAACTTGGTCTCAGCTAACAAAGATGCCCTCCGATTTTGGGTGTACACAAGCAGGCACCCCAACTTGTCTCCACTCCAATAATTCTACTCTCATATATGTGTGTATAGACATAGAACTCTAATTTTACCTTACATAATTATGTTCATACCATACCAAGACAGAATACTTGGAGTGTATATTCAGTGGCGAGACTCAGGGAGGGGAAGGAGGTGAGGCTGGACTCGCAGGTCATCCCTAGGAGGGAAGTTTTAAGTACCTTCAGTATATTATTCAGGGGGATGGGGAGATTGATGAAGATGTCACACATTGTATTGGGGCGGGATGGATAAAACGGAGACTTGCTTCCGGTGTTTTGTGCAACAAGAAGGTGCCACTAAAACTTAAGGGTAAGTTCTACAAAGTGGTGGTCAGACCAACGATGTTGTATGGGGCTGATTGTTGGCCAGTCAAGATCGCTCATGTCCAGAAGATGAAGGTAGCAGAGATGAGGATGTTGAGATGGATGTGCTGGCACACCAGGTTAGATAGGATCAGAAATGAGGTTATTCGCGACAAGGTGGGTGTGGTCTCTATTGAGGACAAGATGCGAGAAGCGTGGCTTAGGTGGTTTGGTCATGTGAGGAGGAGGAGCACAGACGCCCCGGTGAAGAGGTGTGAGAGGTTGACATTGGAGGGACTACGAAGAGGTAGAGGTAGGTCAAGAAGGGGTGGAGAAAGGTGATTAGGCAAGACATGACACAACTTCAGTTGACCGAGGACATAACCCTTGATAGGAAGGTATAGAGGTCAGGGATTAGGGTAGTAGAGTAGGTAGTCTAGAGTGTTCACAACAGTAGTATTGACACACAGTCTCGCTTTCTGTTGGTAGTACGTTTTTATGACTAACCATTATTTTCTTTCATTGTTGATCACCTTACTATCTTGTCGTTTTATTCTGCTTTTATATGGCTTTTTGGTATTATCTCCTTAGCTATATTTTCATTTATGTGGTGCTTATATCACAAGGTAGGGGTAAAGTATGCGTACACACTATCCTCCCCAGACCCCACAGTGTGGGATAATACTGGGTATGTTGTGTTGTTGTTGTTGTTGTTGTTGTTGTTGTTGTATAATTATGTTCATACCCAATTGAATGTATTTGTTTAGCTTAGCGTCAAGAACTTGTTACGAAGAAAAAACTCTTTTTTTCCCCAGAAATATCTAAGTTTCTTTTTTCCTTAAATTAACTAAAAACTCTCAAATATTGCCCCAATTGTAATATCATTTGACAAAATGTACCAGACATAACAAGCATTATGATTATAAAGTTCACTAAAATCTTCATGAGATATATTACAGGGAATTAAATAGAGGCTAAAAAATCAAGAGATCAGTTTTCCATTACTTTTCTTCTTTTGCAAAATAGGTTATATTAGTACTTCAGTATCTCTTTCTTTATTTGAAAAATATTCAAATGATTTTCAATGTCTTAACACTATTCACCTAGGTGAAACAAAATTTTGGTGCAATATGAAAAACAGGAAACTCTCCATATGAAGATCAAATAAAATAAGATACTGATATAACACATTGAATAACTAAAAGTGAAGTTGCATAGCAGCTCAGTGCTAGCTAATGTAAAATCAACAATTTGGCACTAGTACTAAATCTCCAAGCTTTAACTCTTTCAATGATATGGAGCTTGAAAAACATGGCTCTACTTTTCTGGCATAAAATACTTATGACAAATATTCATGTCTAGGTGTAACGGGTAAAGTTACTGGCATGTGACCAGGAGGCCACACGTTCGAGCGGTGAAAACATCCTCTAGCAAAAATGCAGGGTAAGACTGCGTGTAATAGACCCTTATGATTTGACCCTTCCTCGAACCCCGTGCATACGAGAGCTTACTGCTGCATCGGGCTGCCCTTTTTTGAGAATCAAATTACACATAACTCTGCTTGCCACAGCAGTTTGATCAAAGTGGAGAATCAAACTAAAACATAACTTTGAAATAAAACAACCCACAGTATAAATTCAGATACCAAAATCTCATTTCGAACATCATTCAAGTTCAGGATGAAATGTAAATAACCTTAGCTTTTTAACAACGTAAACAGCATTCCCAAAACATCAACACGAAGATTGGTGTATGTCCGCAAAACACAGCCATATACTACTGCATACACCATAACTAACATCTGTTCATCTTAACTTACAAAATTTACGCCAATATCATTGTCTGATAAAAGACTAGCGATCAAACAAGATTGTTATCTACGTTATAGTGAACTTCTGCTTTAGGTGATGCTCTTGGAAATTTTGTTATCTCTGCAAGTACCTTTAGTCTCGTTTCGGCAAATACTTTTCCTTTGTTGGGCTGGATTAGCATTTTCACCAGCATAGGAGACTTGGCTAATAGAAGCTGGATAAGCTCAATTTCAGGCTTTGTGCCTGTAATACCTTCAAGCTTAACAACCCTGAGGTGATTCAGTGTCACATCTGAGAAGCTTGCAGGAATATCATTGACAACATCACCGCGCACAGGATCAATCAATGCCGCATAATACACCTAAGAAAGATAAAGAAAATCAATAACTCATAAATTAAATAATAGAAAGAAATACTATGAACAGAAGCAAATCACCACATAAAGAAGAACACATTCAAAACAAAGGACCCAAAAAAAAAAGAGAAGTAAACTTCATTAGCACCTTCATTTGAATATCTTGTAAATACGGGGAGCTTCTTATCAAGCAAAGAGCATACGACAGCTCAGCTAATTCATCCAGACTGTTGAAGTTGTCAAATATCCCACATCGGTGGTTGACACTTTTGTTTGTGATTTTTTCCCTATTAAAGGAGGCCTAATGTATAAGATTTATATATACCTCTCATTTACCTTCTTATCTTCTTAGGACATTTGTATCTTTTCTCTTTAGTATTATTTCACTTGTATTTTTGGAGTGAAATAAAATATTGGTTGTGTCCGAGGAAGTAGGCAAAATTGGCAGAAACCTTGTAAATTTTGGTGTTCCTTTTATTGTTGCTTTATTGTCGTATTTATTATTTAGTAGCTGCCATAATTTTTGGTATAGTAGTTGTGATTCATTTACACTATATACATTTGGCTTCCGCAACACAGACAAATGGTGGTTAAGCATGTTGAAGATGTCAAATTGTCCCACATCGGTTGGGAAGTAGAGTTGGGGGGATTTTCTCCTATAAAAGAAGGCCTAATGTTTAGGATTTATATACCTCTCATTTGCCTTCTTATCTTCTTAAGGCATTTGTATCTTCTCTCTTTAGTATTATTTCACTTGTATTTTTGGAGTGGAATAAAATATTGGTTGTGTCCGAGGAGTAGGCAATATTAGCCGAACCTCGTAAATTCTGGTGTTCCTTTTATTGTTGTTTTATTGTCTTATTTATTATTTGGTGGTTGTCATAATTTTTGGTATAGTAGTTGTGACTTATTCACACTATATACATTTGGCTTCCGCAACAAAGCAAAGATGTTTAAGACAATGAAGAGGAGAGGAAGGCTTTGCTGGTACGTTGCCTGATGCTGCAGCCAAGAACTAAGAAGAGAACATCGTAAATCAGGAACACTCAAAGCCCAAAAGATGGTACATCTATGAAAATGCATTAGACTGAAGCCACGGTGCAACATTTACCTGGACACTAAGGTAATCTATGTTGAGATGCTCGAGAGCAGGAAAAGACTCAAAATACTTGGCAAGATCAAGTTGTCCAGCCTTCCCAGAAGGTACTGCTGTATTAAAAAGTGAAAGTTTCTCAAGAAGAGGTGCTTTCATCAACGAAATATCATTTATACCGCCACTGAAGTCGAAGGATCTCAACTTGGGAGCATCAATTTGGATGTGGTTTAAAATACTTGAGATTTGCAGCACCAACTTCTCGAGCAACGGGCAACGAGAGATTAAAATATTAAGCAATTCGGATGAAAATGTTATGTCATACAGTTCAAGGCTAACTAACTCATCAAATCCTCTGAAGGCAGATGGAGGCTGAATTGAACAATTTTGGAGTCTCAAATGTCTCATTTGCGAACATGTGAAAAATGAAGAAGGCAATTTGTATGGGTTATCCTTGGGAAATTGGAGAGAAAGATGTTGAATGCTTCTTGAGAGGAAAGATACCAGGTTGTCAATTTTAGGGTAATTTCCCAGATTAGCAATACTGGAGAGGGTAAACTTAGTAATTGGTCCGACATGGAGGGTCAAAAGGTCGTAGATAATGTCTTTAAACCGAATTGCAAGGGGTATTTAGTTATTTGTTGTTTCCCAAAGTGCTTGATCAAGCGTTAACACTGGAAGTCTGCACCAGTTACGCCTCCAATGCTTCGATAAGATGTTTGTCCTCACAGCATCTCGTAAAGGCAAACACGTAAGAATATCATCAATTACATTCTCGGAAAAAAAAGGTTGCTAAGCATATCGAGAGGTAAAGTTTCACTACAATGTTTTTTGTAGTCAGGAGGCATCATATGATAATATTCTCGCCAATCAAAACCTGTAGACAATAAACAAGAATAGAAAGGTGAAGAATCTCCAACACTATCTGGCCAGAACTGTTGTTCAAACTGTTGCGGAAGCCAAATGTATATAGTGTGAATAAGTCACAACTACTATACTAAAAATTATGACAGCCACCAAATAATAAATAAGACAATAAAGCAACAATAAAGGGAACACCAGAATTTACGAGGTTCGGCTAATTTTGCCTACTCCTCGGACACAACCAATATTTTATTTCACTCCAAAAATACAAGTGAAATAATACTAAAGAGAGAAATACAAATGCCTTAAACAGATGAGAAGGCAAATGAGAGGTGTGTTTCAATCCTAAACATTAGGCCTTCTTTTATAGGGGAAAAATCCCCCCCAAACTTAACTCCCAACCAATGTGGGACTTTGGCATTTTGCCAAACTTCAATACAAACTGTCAAATTAATGCCTTTACTTTACTGTTAGTATCTTCACTCCACAATAATGAGAACTGAAAATTAATGTCATATTTAGCACCATTAAGTGTATTTCAACACAATTACAGAACCTATAGCTGCACCAAACGCCAAGCACAATCATTGAACGCCTGCACATACCCGACAAAACCAACATCTATAAAGAGTACAAAAGAGAAGATAAAGCTTTTGTTTTATAACATGTTCCATCAAAGAAAAAAGATTTCTACAGCATGAACATAGAGGATTATACAGATTTCTTATTCTAAAAAAAAGGGACAGACCCGCGCGCACACAAAATATCCCGCATTCACGCAGGGTCCAGGGAAGGGCCGCACACAGGCTATCCTAATACAAGTATCAGTAACTGATTTCACGGCTCGAACTCGTGACCTATAGGTCACACGGAAACAACTTTCACGGCTCGAACGCGTGACCTATAGGTCACATCGACACAACTTTATTGTTGTTCCAAGGCTCCCCTACAAATTAAATATGAAATAAAAAATAGAAACGAGAAGCCCATCACCTTTTGATTCTATTAAGCTTATAAACCTGACTGTTTCACCGCGCTTAAGCTATATATCTGTATATGACATCAAACTAGTAGTCTAAATAAGCTTAATAGTTTTATTCCCACAATTTACATAACCCTAACCTTCTCTGGCAATTTGTAAATACAAATGAAACTGAAAAATCATGTAAACATATAACAACAACTGTAAAAAAGAGAAGAGGGAGCCTTTATTTCGAAGAGTTAACATCTTGCGGAATAGAAAGAAGACGAGAAACAGATATTAAGCTTACCAAAGGCCAAATATTGAAAAAGATGGAAGTAGAACGTTTTATTGTTTGGTTTAGTATATTAAAAATAACAGAATTGCATATTCTTTCAAAATTATTTATTTACAAAAATACTCTCCACGTTCTTTACAAAAATATCGAAAAGGGGATTTGAAAAAGATTTTGAAAGGCCAATTCTATCTTTATACATGTTAATCCATAAATTAAGAATCGTGGTGTTGCTAATATTCTGATTTCTTATGTATACCAATAGTACTGAATATATATGGTGTATAACTAATATATATATTAATTATACATAAGTTGAAAAATAAAATTTTCCAAATAAGGGATTAATAAGCCAAAGTTACTATAATATATATATATAAAAAAATAAAAAAAAAATCCCGAATACATATTTTACAGCATCAGATTAAGAGTCCTAGTTTTACTCCAACTTAATTAGTTACTAGTAGTATTTCCTTTTCAACGCCTCAAATATTGTTAAACTTGGACAAAGCAATTCTTCCTTGCTTTAACCATTCCTGACCTTAGGGAGCTTCAAAATATTTGTGCATAAAAAATTGAACTCCTTTTCCGAAATAACTAAGTTCATGGTAAAAAGTAAAAACATTTCTGCATTTATCAAACTTATGATAACCTAATACGTATCTTTCGCCTATTCTTTTATCACCTAACTATAATTAAGTAAGTGTAATTTCAATTGATTTATTACTTAACAATGATAAATTAGTGTAAACATGGGATACATGGTAATTTTTTACCATGTGGTCTTCTAATAGCATTTAGTCATATATCATTATTGTTATCAAATGAAAATTGAGGTGAATTATTATAGAGAACTTTCAAACACTCCTAAGCATTTAGTTGAAACACATAATTTCAAGTAGGGCTATTCAAAACCGAAGCGTAACTGTTAATTGAATCGTAAAATTGGCTTATTGATATCAGGTTATTGGGGTAATTGTTGGTGAACGAATTGAGATTTTATAATTAACTGTTTAACAGTTTAGAGGTGGATTACTCATTTTTCTTATCGGATAAACCGTTAACTCGTTATTAATTTTTATATTTATATTTTTACCTCTATGTATATAAAATACTATTTGAAATTCTATATCCTTATTCATGGGAATTTATAGGGAGACCAATAAGGGTGAGCACAATAAAAGATTTTTGAGAGAAGAGAACAAAAGAATCTCTATTCTTGAGAGTTATCATCTAAATTGATTTCTGTGTCAGAATGAACTAAAGCTGCTGGATTTTGAAAGTTATTCCTATGAGGAAGTGAGTTTCCACGATCCTTTGTTTGTATAGTAGAATCCAGACTGATATCTTGAAAAAATTATTGTCGGAAATTTTAATATGGCTTCATATATATTCCCTGTTTTTTTTATTGCCTACGCTATTCGGATTATGTTTTGTACAAAATGTTTAATCAGGTATAAGTTTCAAGATAAATGTTCATTATGGTAATTGAATGTGACATATCCTAAGTTTTTCCTTATCAATAATTCTCTAATTCTTTTTTATTGTCTATTTGATTAAGCCTATAAACTGCCCGATAATCGCTAATCTGTTACCAATATGCTCGATGTCTTATTGATTGGCCGGTAGATTATTATATTTATAAACCGATAACCGATAAGCCAGGTTGTTAAGTATAAATATCCGCCTGATCCGCCCGACAAGCACCCCCTAATTCCATGCAATAACGGTACTACTTAGCAAATGACATCGGCACAAGTATTTAATCACATATACTGTTAATGTAAAAAAAAATCACACTGTCAATAATTTTAACCTATGATTAATGATTAATTGGCATGTTACCAATCAAATCTTATCATATAAATTACTTGTAAATATTTTATAGATGACCTGATTATGATAATAAGTTTGATTCGATTTTGCGCATTCATTTGAACTCCCCTAAAGTTCAATCTTGATCAAATTCTGACGTATAAGTTCGTAGTATTCTTTGACAATAAAACAATACTGGACTAAAGAGAATGCAAAGAGCAACAAATGTAAACCAAAAAGTTCACAGCACATAGGAAATTCTATTGCATCTGTGCCGGTGTATTGTCATAATTTGGCTTGTGTATTCATTTTGGGATAGGCGCGATGGAATTAAGACATTACTTTATATCATGATTGATGTTTCCGTCGAATTATTTTTCGAGCAGAGTAAGCCAATTGTATTTACACATATTATTATTATTATTAAGAAAATATTCTCCATTCGTTTTAATTAATGTGAACCTATTTCTCTTTGAGTCATAGCTTGTTTGGCGAATTTTTTTTTTTGGCCAAAAGTATTTTTTTTTCTAAAATTAAGGTATTCGGCCAAGCTTTTGGAAGGAAAAAAATGTTTTTGAGGAGGAAACAGAAGCAGTTTTTGAGAAGCTGAAAAAAGTTACTTCTCTCCAAAAGTATTTTGTTGAAAAACACTTTTGAGAAAAATACACTTAGATGCACTATTTAAAAGCTTGACCAAACATTAATTGCTACTCAAAAGTACTTTTCAAATTAAGTAGCCAAACAGAAACTGTTTCTCACAAAAAGTGAAAAGCACTTTTGAGAAAAATATTTCTCAAAATAAGCTGATTTTAGAACCTGGCCAAACAAACTATCAATCCCAAAAAGAATAATCCATTTCTAATTTGGAAACAATTTAATTCTAATTTTTTATTTCACCCATAATGGGAAGTTTTTATAAAAACACTAATATTATGACATATTCAAAAATATAAGTCTCAAAATTAAAGTTTTCCATTTTTTCTAAACTTTGTAAATTGGCAGGCGTTGATGTGAAAAGTTGGTTTTAATTTGCAGGAGAAACCTTTTCTGGTTGTCCAAATTAATATGACAGAAATAATTATAGCCTTTGTATAGTCGTAATAAATATTAAATACTAATAGCCTTTGAAAAGGTGAATATAAAATTTTAGGGAAAGGCATTAAATGAAAACAAAGATCCATGCAGAGAAGTGTGATTGCTGGATTACTTCCCTCATTTTGGCTCTTCAAAAAACTAAGAAACTTTAACAAAATGTTAGATTCAAATCAGTCACATAACATCTGTGCATTATTTGTCACCAGCCGGAGAAATACCATCTAATATCTCCCTCATAAAAACACTGCTCCCTGTTCTGAGTAAAGGATCATCAAACTGGCTGAGCAAGAACACTTGAAATCATTGATAGTGTTGGAATTACTATGTAAATTAATTTCACCAGTTATTGTATATAACAATTAGTTATTGTATATAACAATTCATCCTTGCACTCCGTGGCCGAGCCACATGCATTCAAGGGGTGTCAACTGACAACCCTTTGTTGGAAAATTATTATTATTTTTTTTCGCAATCCGCTAGGCAAGCGCCTAGGGCTAGATTTTTATTAATAAAAAGAAAAGAAAATACAACAATTAGGAATAGTACAAATAAGGGGGACAATAGCACCGGTATTGTTACCCATATGCCTTGGCTATATAATCACTCATCTGCGCCTCACAAAGCCTATGGCAGCCTCATGTAGAGGATTCATGGTACAGCTGCCTGCAAAGTCTCACGAGGGCATATAATCTCATAGCCGTGCGGATAATTTCCAAAGGCATAAGACCAATGTAACACAAACCGGGCTAGACCTTATCTTACTAATCCTATTGAGGCGTAAAATAGTCTCACCTACTAGCATGCATGTAAAAAATAAGAACTGGAGAGTATCAAATATTCAATGATCATCACAGAGTTTATAACATACTCTGTGATGATATTACAAATGAGTATACTAACATAATAGTAGAATAAAATGAAGAAGGAATTAAATTGTTGTCCCTTCTTGCCCAAACTTGTAAATTCTTCAATTTGTAATTCTTTGTCATCACTGTCCCAACTCTTCAAAATGTCTTCAAAAATCATGACTTCTTTTTTGAATGGTTTGACCTCGTTGAGGTGTTGGGGCAGCCTTCTTTTATTTGGCAACTCTCATTGGAGGTCGCCTAGCATTTAAAAAATCACTAACCTTCTCGTCCCAACTATTTTTCCTTGTATGTGCTATCATTATTTTGCTGCTATGCATAGGAGATAAATCACCTTGTTTTGCTGCATGTGCACGACATTCTTTCAAAACATCATCCTCTTCTCCTTCCTCATACATATCTCTATCCACATTCACAGGATGCGGATAGTTGTCGACGAGGTCCTGTTTCATCAAAACATTTCCTTGTTGTGTATTTGCCAAAGTTGTCGTGTTGTGATGTTGCTTTATAACTTGCATTGTATTCCTGTTTTTACTCACATTTCCTGTACTAACAATTTGCATTGAACTTACTGAGTTTCGATGTGTAGAGTCTGCCAATGCATCATGCAGTTTTCTATCTTCCTCAGAAATCATAGGAGTACTGGATTCTTGTTGTTTCTGTCCAGCATTTGAGTTCATTATTGCAGTACTTGGTGTGCTTTCAAGTTGTTGTTGTTGTCCAGTCATATTGCTTACAGTAATGTCCTGTTGTTCTCTTGAATTTGATGAATGGACTGCTGCTCTTGATGTGTTCCCTATTTGCTGCTGCTGTTGGAGTGGAGTATTAGCATTCTGCAGTAGTTGTCCAGATTCAAAGCTAGCCAAATATTCCTGTTGCCTCTGTTGTATTATAGCTGGTTTGGTTGTCACCACATATTGCTGGCCAGATTCAGTAACACCTCCAGCTGCAGTGTTTGCAATGAGTTGCTGCTGCTGCCCAGATTCAGTAACAACTCCAGCTACATTGTTCCGAGCGTTCGCATCATTTTGTTGCATTGCATCCAAAAGCTGTCTCTCCTCTACTGAAAAAGCTGTGGAGGTTGTCACAAGTTGCTGCTGTCCAGTATTTAGTGTTACTGTTGCTCCTCGATCATCAGTAGGAATTGTAGCTGAGGGGTTTGGATTAAGCTGCTTCTGCTCTACATCAAGGATTGGGTTGGTTTCAACTATTTGCTGCTGTCCAATTATCATTGCTTCTGCTGTTCGATCATTAGCAACTGGAACTACCTGCTTTGTTTGTGTTGCTGCAGCTTGCTTTGAGCTTCCAGCTGGAGAATTTCTGGGCAGAAAAACTGGAGCATAAATGTTCAGTTTGCTTTTGGAAGTTGCTGCTCCTTCAGGTTTTGAAAATGGTGTTGAGTCAATCTCTTCACCTGCACTATAATGATCTTCTTCCTTGTCTGCCTCTTCCGATGAGTATCCAATAAAGCCATCTCCCCAATGTTCTTCATCATCATCCTCACGCTGGTCACGCCAAATCTTGTAATTAATAGCCGTTTCCCTCACCTTGGCTTGTATAAGATCATTATTGTTTCCAGTTGCTAGCATTAACTGTCCAGATTCACCCTCAAACTCCGCAAAGGATTCCACTAATTTAGAGGGAACATCAAATACGGAGGTATTCAAGGTGACCAAGGGCTGTTTAACCAAAGTAGACTTCAACAGCATTTCATTCTTTGCATCTTTAATTATTTGTTCTACATTAGGGTTGGAGAAATGTAGAGTAGGTGCATTGGAAATGTGTGCTTGAATACCAATTAGTTCAGCCCCCAACCTGTTCTTTGAATCCTTATGTCGAACACCCAACTTTTTTCCAAAATCAACACTGCCTGGGCCTTCTTGTTCATTGTTGGCTATTGGAACAATTTGTTTGCACGTCCCACTTTCATTTACTCATGTTGCAACAGTTTCTGAATCTCCAGCAGCAACAAGAATTTCGAATGAATTTGAGCTGGAACCATTGCCGAGGTCATTTCGTCGAAAATCTTGGGTCTGATTTTTTGGTGAAACCTCCTTCTTTGAAGGGGATTTTCTACCTGTTACGACCTTCCAAACTCCCTCATTTTTGTTCATAGATCCTCTCTTACTATCCTCAAACACCTTCCTAGTACTATTTTCCATTAACAAACTCTTTTTCCCAGTTTTGTTATTCCCTAAAATCTGGGCAGCTACTGCTCTGTCAGAGATTTGCCATGTATATTTTTTTTGTTGCTCACCTTCAGCATTATTTTGTGAATTAGCCTAACACCATCTTTAACACCTGAAGGCATTGATCCCATATCCATATTACCAGTTCCTGCAACATGCTGATCTCCTGCTGCTCTATCAATTGCTTTATTCACATGAGGTGCATTACCTATAGCTCGATCTGCAGCAGCTTTCAATGCACCAGCAGTAGCTAGATACATTCGTGCAAATATAGTAGAGGCAGGGACATCTCTAGAGGGTTTAGGAGGTCCCTTGTCCAACTTCAACACCTCTTCTATAGGATTTTCCTTTGCCTCTTGATCCCTCGGTTGCACAGCTCTCTTTGCATTAAGGTAATCCCTGGCATCACCAGCTAATTTGTCAAGACTGCCCAAGCCTTCCACTACATCTCCTCGAGCAACAGTTTCCTTACCATCCTCGATCCTCCTACGACATGAGTTTTCATCATGCCCTTGGTGCTTACAACAAGTACAGTATTCTGGTAGATTGTCAAACACTATCTGCTGATAATGTTCCACAATTCTCCCAGAATTCTTGTCAACGATATTTATTCGAACTCTCTTAGGATGTTTGTTTAATAAATTAATCAAGACTTTAACCCTTGCTGTACTTGGTCTTGTTCGATCTTGAGTCGCTTTATCAATTGCAAGAGGTTTCCCTACTGCTGAAGCTATAGACAATAAAGATTTCTTTGCGAAAAAATTTGCAGGCAAATCAGGCAAAGAAATCCATGCCACAGCTCTTGAAGTTTCTTCACGAGGATTGAATCCTAACGTCCATGGAAACGTCCTAAAGAAAAATTCATCTCCCTTCGCCTTAACATACCCAGTAGATCTTGACAAAACCTGAACATAATCTTTAAAGAGATCAAAACGTACCAAGATATGACGAAATTCTAGCTGTCCAACGTTGCAATAACCTTTAACGTCGAATTGTTTCGGAATTAACTGTCGTAACTCTTGAATATCTGGCTTGCCATATGAAAATTTGAGAATTACTGCCTGATACAGTCCTTCTTCGATGGTGAAAGTGTTCACCTCTTCGACTGTGAATTCTACAATTGGTTCTCCATGAACCATATGGACATGAGTTAACTCCAGTTTTGACGAGGTTGCAGCAGATTTCGTTTTTTGAATCAGCGCAGCATATGATTGTTTTGGCATCACGTTTGGATTTGTTTCATTAGTATTTTGATTTGTCTCTCCCACAGCCAAAGGCTGGGGAGAGCTCGCAGCATCCATGGTTGCCTCAATTCTCGTCAAAACATCTGATGAAGAAATGAATTTCTGGAAATTCTCGATGCTACAGTGCACGCGAAAAAAGAAATTAAGATCTAGAACAATTGGCTATGAATTTGACTATGAAACCAATTGGGGATTGTGCGCAAAGAGTAGGAGGTTCTTTTGACACCAATCTTGTAATTTTCCACTGCCGGACGCCGGATTTATGGTCCGGTGAATAGTGTTTGTGTCACTATTCACAGTCTTCCTAGAGAGAAGGTGGACGTGGCTTTTGTAAGAGTTTTCCTTTGTTGGAAAATTACACTGTGTAGCTAGATTTTTTTTTTTTTTTGAAATATGTATGTATACTATGTATTGACACCCCTTGACTTCTTGATTAGTTTATTTCTTTATATCTTAACTCTCAAATTCCTAGCTTCGCCACTGAGTTGCACTAAACATATGTAAGTCGAAGCACCATTGGTTCGAAGTCAGTACACCATTGAATGGTTCAATATTTTGAACTTAAGAAAGCCACTTTGCTCAAAGTTACAATAACTTTGTTGAAATACAAAACGAAAATATGAAACCACAAAGCATTGAAGAAAAGGACTAAGAATTCAAATCATAAATGTCAGCTGTGCAGCAAGTAAAGCATTAGCAAACTTGCTATAAATGTCATGCATCTTGTTAGCTAGAATGACTTAAAGGGGAAATTCTTTTCTTCTGCACATAATTAAGTATTTCGTCTGAATTCTTTATCCTAGCCAACCAAAAGAATTGGAACGTCAACATCCCACAGATCATGCACCAATGCCAGTTCCCTGAAACTCAGATTATGATACTTATGTTTTGCTGTCCCTTGAGAAATCTATAGACACTGCTGATGGTGGCCGCAACTGGAGCAGCTTCCTAGCTATATTCAATGCTTTTTCTGCTTCAAGTTCTGGGTGCTCCAGGATGTTCATTGTCACAAGTGATGGCGAGCTAAAGAGAATAAATCGGATAAACTCAAACTCGGGAATGAAAGCTGAGATATTCGTTAATTTGACCAGATGAAGCTTGCTAAGGGGAAAAGTTGTGCAGTCCAAGCATTTTAGATAATCGGAGACTTGTTCCTGGTTTAGCTCGATTGTAGAAGCCTACACAAAAATAAAGCAGAAACATGATAAGTGCTTATTTGTTTCCAAAACAAATTATCATGAATTAGATGGAGCTTCGCAACTTACCTCTACATAGAGTTCTTGCAAGTTGGGAGCACTTATAAGTAGGCGGACAGCTACAGATACTGGATTTAAGTCCATAAAGTTCACACCTTTTGAGTTCAAGAATCTTTAGAGATTATGATGATGGCGATAACATTGGCAGAACAGGAGTTTCATCTAGGAGCTGAAACATTAATGATGTGTGAAAACACAATTTAATCACATTAAATAAAAAAATTAAGAATTCTTGGAACCCTTATAATGTTAGCTGTGAAGGTAAAATACAAGCTTGGTTAAAGTAATAGGAACAAAAGGCCGTGTAGAAATAATTCAATATATAGCACTAAATACCTGCAGAAACATGCCATTAAGACGAAGTATTTTGACTTTAGGCAGGGTATCCACAAATGTACCCAAATCAGAAACAGGTTTGCCTTCCCTGCCTGTTACAACTCTCTCCAATGAAACAGACACTTCAGACAAGTTAGAAGCATTCTCTAAGGAGATTGATTTGAATTTCTCATCGTCCTTGATAAGGAACCTCTTGAGATTAGAACCAGTGATATTAAAATGGTGAATACCAAAGCAACGGTGCAATGAAAGTGTTTTAAGAACAGGGCAGCTAGAAATAACTCTTTCGAAACAGTTGTCCGTAAACTCAACCCCCTTAAGAAGTAATCGGTACAGATTTAGGAAGCCTTAAAACTCTAGTGGTGCTGAAAGAACAAAATTATGGAGCTTCAAGTATGTCAAATCCAAACAAGAGAAGAAATATGGAGGTAATTTATGACGATAAGTAACATACTTGTGTGTTAAGGTTAATTTCTTGATTTTCCTCCAAGATAAATATAATATCCATTTGTTCATATCAGGAAGCACCAATGAAATGTGATAAGGAATGCGTACTCTAAAACTCTCTATTTCACCAAGATGTAGCAGAAGAGATTTGGTGACAATTTCATCAAATCGATAGAACTTGAGCATATAAAAAAAAGTTCCTTCCTTCACAAAGAAGCCATCAAGTTCTCTGCAGAATTGGATAGAGCATATGTCGATCATAAACAATTTCAGTAGAGTACGTAATAATTAGAAAGGAATTAGAAGACATACTGCAGAATCCTTCAATTACCAAGAAAAGCAACCAGTTAAGTGATCAAACATAAGGCGACAGACAGGTTTCACAACCCAAAAATAAATAATTAAACCCCTGAAAATATGACTTAATAGCAGCTAGAGTGCATCGTTACTTCTAGAACAAATAGTTCAAGCCATATCTTTTAGGATATAATGTAACTACTAGAATCATTTCTTTAGCATCATCAAAACACATGGACAGACCAGGATTATAAAAGTCAGTGAAGGATCCCAAGTTCACAGAAATTTAAAGCTAAAATGGCGCTTGAATAGTATTACTATAGGGTCACACGGCATCACTGCTGTTGACCTGCTCAGATTGCTTTGATGAGTACTTCCCCATCAGCTTAGCCAGTTCGAGATCAAAATACTTCTCAAGTGCAACTACCTCTTCCGAGTATTGCAGCCAGTATTTGCGTCTCATTGCAGCTACCCTATCTTCATGAGCTCTTATCAGACTATCCCTCTCTTCCACAAATTCTTCCATTTCATGGTCCTGAAGTTTGATAAATTTCGCAACTTTCTCTGCCCTGAGTCGATGATCCTCAGCCAAGGAAATAGTTGCATTAGATTGATAGATCATCGCACGCTGTTTCTGCTGTATCTTTTCAAACTTGTCCTCCTCAGCGGTCCTGGCATCGTAAATCATTTTCAACTGATCGCTGAAAAACTGCTCTAGATACTCCATCTCTTCCTTGTTCCGTTCATGGTGCATCTTAGTTCTCAGTCTGACAATCTTGTTCTCTTCAACTGTCTGACGGTGCTTTTCACTCACCAGTCTTAGAGACTCTTCAGTAGCTTTAGCCCGCTTTTGGTGCTTAGTGGCTTGGTTCTTGAACCATATGAGCTGTTGATTATCCTCCGACATCTGCATCGCTGGATTCATAACAGTTTCTCTCAATGACCGAATCTCGAACTTCAGCCTTGATTTCCCATGTGAATGACGGTTAAAGTTGTCCATGTCTCTTTTCTCTGCCATGTAACCATAAAGCTTACGTTTCCCCCCAGGATAAAAGCGATCTGGATTGTGTTCCCATGCATCTCTATCACTTCCTTTTTCAGAAAACTGCTCACTGAGAAGTACAGCCTCCATGTATCCCACGGGAGTGGCCTCAAAAATCAATACACTGATACCGCGATGGCCTTGTGGACCATATGAACTTCGCGCTGTCTTGACAGCAGCATAATAGCTGAAATAATCACGCAACTCCTGATTTCCCATTCCAATCCACTTGTCATTTTCATCTCTCTCAAGCACCGTGTTCATGATAATCACCGTCGGTGGCCACACTATTTCCTTATCTTCATATTCGCCGCCATCCCATCTTCCATACACTTCACCTGGAGGTACAACAGAAGTTCCCCTCTGACGCAGCTCTTCCTCCAAAAGTTGAGCAAGTTGTCTGTGTAATTTCATCCTAAATCCTTTCGTTTTTGCGTGGATCATCACTGACCGTATCCCTGGAAACCACTCAATTGCACCCGGACCACCTTTGCATGCAGGGCAGTGCCACTGTCGTTCCGGATCATTAATCTCAGTGACAGTCAAACTGTCAAGACATTTGAAAAGGTTCTTGAACCAACGACTTTCCTTGCGTGCCTCATGACTCATTTCATTCACATCTGAGTGATCATCAAAGTCGTCATCACTCGGAAGCTCATCATCACTGTCATCATCAGGCAAATCCGATTCATTATCCTCCCCATCATGTTCACAGGAAGCCTTGACATCATCAGCGACAGGGGAATAAGTATCTTGGTCCTCATTGGAACGAGCGACAGATGACCAATCCCAACCATTCTTCAGGGCAGGAGGAACTGCAGCGGGTGTTGGTGTGTAGCATTCTCTGCCAGCAGGTATTCGAGGATGATAATTAGGTGTAGACCAGTTATTCCTAGAACCCTGTCCTAATGATCCAACAATATTGTTACGCATTCCCAGTTTGGCTTTTGGAGTGGGATTCTGAGGAAACCATTGATTCTTCCCAAAACTGCTACTTCCACCCTTGTTCTTGGACTTTCTAGCACACACTACCCATCCATCATTTTGATCAGAGTTCAACCCCATATCTTCTACGCCTACGTTTATATCATCGACCATTGGTGTAGTAGTTGTTTCCCATATAGCTTTCTGCTTTCCTGATGAATTAGAAGACTTCTCAACCCTTTTGCTGGAACTCATATCTGGATGAAACTACACGAACTGGGATTTGCTGTTGAAGGAAGATGTCAACAAAAAAACAGAAACTGATGAAAATAACATGAGAATTTCGACTGAGAAATAATTCCATATGTTTCAATTTTATAAATCAAATCGACGAGACAGAAGCATACAACTTTCAGTAGGAAAGGTGAACGAGATCAAGAAGATAAAGCCTTTTTACATGGACTAAAATTAATAAAAAAGGAAAAGAAATGATTATTAAGAGGAAAAACATGAAAGCACTCACAAGCATACCAAGATTCTTGAATTTGAACGTGCCTTCAACTGCTGGGGCACAATTTCAAGTTAAAGTTTTAAATGTTTGAAGGGAGGCAGAGGTGAGACATGAAAAGGAAGGAGATATGCCAACTAAGGAAAGCGGTTGAAGGATTCTGCATTCAATTGCTTAAGAATAGACTAAGTCAAACTATCCCAAAAATCTCCTCTTCTAGCTAGCTAGCCATTAGTTTTCAATTGCCAAATATTCTCATGATTCTTTCCTAGCCGTTAGTTCTAGTCATTAAAATTACCTTTGGCTCGCCAAATTTATTTTCCAATCTCTTGTGCATATAATGACATCTTGAATGCCAAAGTAGCAGACAAAGGAATGAGATTATAATTCTCTTTAAGATAGTAGAGTAGGCCGGCCTTCATGTGAAAACTTGGTTTTAATTTGCAAGATGTAAAAACTGTTCTAATGGTCCAAAAGAATGAACTTCTCAGTTGTCTGAACTGAATCTTCCATAAAGAAATAATGAGCATGGAGGTCTTCAACATCAAAAAGTTGTCTCTATTCCTATTCTTAATGACTAGAAATTCTTGACACATGCACTATCTCAAATTTATTTTTCTTCCTTTTTTAACTTTCCTGTCTACTTTCACTTTTTATTTACACTTACCTATATTTTTTGCATTGTTACATTACCAAAGATGTACTTTGGGACCCATTCATATTAAAGAAAATCAACATCACTTTAACTCTTAAACTACAACATTCATCAAGATGCTTAGTTGCTCAGATTTGGGAGCAGGTGTCCGATGCGCATGATCTAAACTTTAAGATTCCGGAGTACATATCTAGGTATGGATACACGCGGGGAGACTAAGTGAAAAATAATTCAAAAATGTAAAATAGAGTTATAAAGATATGTCTAAATTATGAGACATTATTTGGAAACCTTACAAGGTATTTCGAGAAATAGAAAATATTACTCCCTCCGTTCCAATTTATGTGAACCTGTTTGACTGGGCACGGAGTTTAAGTAAAAAATGAAGACTTTTGGAATTTGTGGCCCTAAACAAGTTCAAATGGGGCCCACAGTATTTATGTGGTTATAAAAGCTTCTCATTAAGGGTAACGTCGTAACTTTAAGCTAAATTGTTACCAAATTTAGAAAGGGTTCATTCTTTTTGGAACGGACCAAAAAGGAAATAGGTTCACGTAAACTGGAACAGAGGGAGTAATCAAGAGCAGAATCCAAGAAGAAAATAAAAGGAAAAGGACCGATATAGAAATTTTTATATACAAGGTATTGCATTTCTTCAATTTCAGCCTAGCTTTAATTGGTTGACCATGTTCGACACGGATTTCATACCCACACCCATGTCATGTCGACACGAGTGCGGTACTGAAAGTGAAGAGTCCGTCTGGATGCTAATTGCAGTATTAGAACAAAATACTAGTTTAGGAGACTTACGAGTTTCTCCTTAGCGGAAGCGGATCTGCAACAACCACGACTTGTATTACCGGTAGGAAACGGATGAATTTTCTTTGTCCGCAACCTACTAATCCCCAAGATGATGTAGAGAAGCTAACCTTTTTTTTTCCTACACCCATAAAGGTTTAGGAGGAAGATAAGCTAATGGGCTAAAATTAACTCCCTTATGGGCGGATCGGACTCAATATCATTTTCCAACATTATTAAACTCCAATGTTACCTTAATAATTGTGTTCATATATACCAAATTGTGGACTTAAGTTGGAAGAAAAGAGCTACCTTTTTTTTATTTTATGGAAGGAGTACTAGTTTTAACATTGGCATTATTGTTCATTCATTATTAGGATAAGTTTAATAAAAATCACTTTCACTTTTTATTTACACTTATTAATATTTTTTAAATTATTAGATTACCAAAGATGTAATTTGGGACCCACTCATATTTCAAAGAATATTCAAATTCTTCAAAAAGAAGATCAACTTCATTTTGGGACCCATTAATATTCAAATTCTTCAAAAAGAAGATCAACTTCATTTTAACTCTTAGACTACCACATTCATCTAGATGCTTAGTTGCTCAGACTTGGATGCGAGTATCCAGTACAAATGTGGATATATAGGTCGGATACTTCATGATCTAAACTTTAAGATTTGGGAGTACGTATCGAGGTACGGATAGGGGGATTCAGCTAAAAATAATTTAAAAAGGTAAAATAGTGTTATAAAAATATGTCTAAATCATGAGACATTAATTGAAAACCTTACAGGGTATTAAGAGAAGGAGAAATTATTAATCAAGAGCACAATCCGAAAAGGAAATAGAAGGAAAAAGACTGATATAAAAAGTTTTACATACAACGGTATTGCATTTTTTTCTATTTCACCTTAGCTTTTATTTTAATTTCATTAATCGTTGTATCTGTCCCAAATTCTTCAGTCGTTTTAGCACCCAAAATCGGTTGATCATATTCGGTACGAATCTCCTACCCACACCCACGTCATGTCGACACGGATGTGGTACGGAATGTGAAGAGTCCTAGCAACTTAGTCTAGATGCTATTTGTAATATTTGAACAAAATAGTAGTTTAGGAGACTTACGAGTTTCTCCTTAGCGAAAGCAGATCTGCAACAACCACGACTTGTGTGACCGTAGGAAACAGATGAATTTTCTTTGTCCACAACCTGCTAATCCCAAGATGATGTAGAGAAGTTAACCTTTTTTCACCCATAATGGTATATTTATAGGTAATAAATAGGGTTGAGAAGGAGGATAAGCTAATGGGCTAAAATTAATACCATTATGGGCCGACGGACCAGACTCAATATCATTTTCCAACACTTCAACTCCAATGTTACCTTAATAATTGTGTCCATATATACCAAATTGTAGACTTAAGTTGGAAGAGAAGAGCTACCTTTTTTCTTTTATGGAAGGAGTACTAGTTTTAACACTTGCATTATTGTTCATTCATTATTAGGATAAGTTTTATAAAAATCACTACTCCAACTTAATGAAATTTTCAATGGAATTTAGTGGTTTATTTATTTTTCCATGCCAAATTAAGCTCAGTAGCATTTAATTTCCCACAATCTGCAAAAACCCTGAGCATGCTTTCAAAGTATAAACACAATGGAACTATCCATTACCATCAATAAATAAATAAAAACAATGGAACTGAATAATCCACTCATAATACATAACATTACAAAGTTCATCTCAACATAATTACGTAATATATATTTTTTACTTTTTTTTCTTTTTTGATAACGGTGGTGTCTGGGCCAGCTTGTGCGCAAATCAACTAATTCCGCGGGATATCTACTACCTCCCACTAGCATTAGGTGCCAAGTAAGTCTATCTACCGAGGCTTTCACAGATGAGAAGAAATCACCTAGTGTTTTTTGTCTCTGCTCGGATTTGAGCCTAAGATCGCAGGTTCCCAACCCACACCCTTGACCACTAGGTGTCTAGGCCACACCCTTGAGTGCAATTATAGAATCTATATAACTGAAACAAACTCCAATTTAGGGAGTATTAAAAAAAGAAACCATGAAAGAACTCGAAGCGTACCAGAAACCTTCTTCTCCTTTGTTCCTGGATTAAAAGTTTTTCCTCTTTTCCTTGCTTCTCAAAATGAGAATATTCCTTTAAGTGAAAAGTTGGCTTTAATATGTAGGAGAAATAGTGTATATTCTAATGGTCAAAATAGATATACTGGGAGAAATAATAGCCATTACCGGGCTTTTGTCAGTGGAGATTTGATCACATTCTTTTGTAGATTGAGTTTCAAATAGGCAAAGGTGGTCTTAAAAGCGGGTAAGAGTATTTCTTCCTTTTCATATATGGGACAACTCCTTTTAGATTCCTTTCTACTTCTACTTTTCATTCGCACTTTTTTTTTATAACCGTGGTGTTCAGGTCAACTTGCGCGCACCTCGATTAATTCAACGGGATACCTGCCACCGCAGACTAGCCACAGATATCAGGTAACTCTATCCACCAAGGGTTGGACAAATGAGAAGAAATCACCTAGTGTTTTTTGTCGTCGCCGCACTGAATCATAAAATATTCATTATATTTGATTATTTTTAAGGTACATTAGGTTTTATTGAGTATTAGGGAAAAAATCGAAGTTCCAACTGCACACCTTTCCTTTTCGAGGGTCCTATTACCTCATTATACTACTTTAGAGTATAATTAATTGCATCCTAAAGGCTTAGGTAGTAGAGTGTGTATATCACTCTCTTAGAGAGTGAGAAGAAAAAAACGATTTTAAAATATTACTTTCTCAATTTTGTTAAACTTAAAAATATACTTTCTTTTTTCTTTGTCTTTGTCTTTTCCTTCTTCTTCTCTACTTCACTATTCCAGTCAACAATACACAACACTCGCCGGCGACTTTTATGGCCTTCTTCTTTAATTTTTTCGGTTAGTTTTCTTCCTGTCTCTCCCTCTCGAATACACAAATCATACTTTCATTAAAAATTTATACATACGTAAAGCAAAACCATTCAGATTTGGAAATATCCATCACCGGAAAATCTATTTATTTTTTTATTTTTTGCCAGAAAAAATAGAGTTTTTGAAATTTCAAACCGAAAGAAGCCTTTTTCTTACCCAACAGTAGGGGAGGGCATAGTTTGGGCAAACCCATAATCCAAACCGAAATCTGAATTTTATGGAGTTTTGGTTTGGATTCTCGAATTACGGATTGGACGACGGACTTAATTTTTAAAAATTTTGGATTTCGGATTGAATGTTGGATTTGGCACTTCGGATTTTTAAATATCCGAAAAACCAAAATATTTATACTTCATATTTAGTCCATTATTCATATGCCAATGGTAATAAGTCATTACCCAACCCATTTAATACTAGGCATTATCTCATATAATCATATATTCAATATTAGTTACTAAATTACTATGAGAATATTTTCTATTTAGACACACTAGAAATCCAAATTTGGTGGCTCCTGGTTTTTTTGTTTTTGTGTGGTCATACTTTACTTTTTGTCTCTCTCTCTAATGTCTCTATCTATCTAACGTATGTCTGCTCCAACCCCAACCCCACCACCACCGACGGTCGCCGACGTACAACCGACGACCACCGGACCCAGGTAAGTCCCTGTCCTTTCTCTACCGGTTTTTCCGAACTGACCACCGGACCCAGGTAAGTCCCTGTCCTTTCAGGAGTTAGGGGAGAAGCTGTTAGCTATGGGGGCCTAGATGAATATTGGGGACGCGAGTAGTATGTGGACCACGACAGCGAACTGCATTACGGAAGCAGCTAGGGAGGTGTTAGCGGTTTCGAAGGGTTACTCGGGTGGCCACAAGGGGGACTGGTGGTGGAATGAGGAGATCCAAGGTAAAGTGAAAGCTAAGAAAGCGACGTATTTGAAGCTAATGGGGAGCACGGACGAGGAAGAGCGGAGATTGTATAGGGAGTGTTATAAGAAGGCAAGGAGAGAGGCGAAGCTCGTGGTCACGGCGGCTGAGACTGCAGCTTTTGAAAGATTGTATGAGGATCTTGGGGGCAAAAGAGGGGATAGGAAGCTGTAGAAGTTAGTCAAGATTAGGGAGAGGAAGGCTTGGGAACTGGATCGAGTGAGGTGCATCAAAGACGAAGATGGTAAGGTATTGGTGGAAGAGGTGTGTATCAGGCGTAAATGGCAGGAGTACTTCCATAGACTCTTAAACGAGGAAGGGGATAGGAACATCATGCTAGGTGAGTTGGAGAACTCAGAGAGTTGGAGAGATTTTGGATTTTGTAGGCGTATTAAGTGTGAGGAGGTTGTTGTGGCAATACGGAAGATGAGCAGGGGTAACGCGATGGGGCCTGATGAGATCTCGGTAGAATTTTGGAAAGTAGCGGGTAGGGTAGGCTTGGAGTGGCTTACTAGCCTGTTTAACGTCATTTTCAAGACAAAGAAGATGCCCGGCGATTGGAGGTGGAGTTTGATGATTCCGTTGTACAAAAACAAAGGTGATATCCAGAACTGCAACAACTATAGCGATATCAAGCTACTGAGTCACACTATGAAGGTTTGGGAGAGGATGGTGGAGCAGAGAGTGAGGACAGGTGTATATATCTCTAAGAACCAGTTCGGATTTATGCCGGGACGGTCAAACTACAAAAGCCATTTACCTTGTGAGACGATTGGTGGAGCAGTATAGGGAGAGGAAAAAGGACTTGCACATGGTGTTCATTGACCTAGAGAAGGCTTATGACAATGTCCCGAGGGAGGCGTTATGGAGATGTTTGGAGGTCAGCTGAGTCCCGGTGGCGTAAATTAGGGTGATTAAGGACATGTACGAAGGTGCTAAAACTTCGGTGAGGACTGCGGGAGGAGATTCAGAGCATTTCCTTGTGGAGATGGGGTTGCATCAGGGTCAGCCCTTAGCCCATTTTTGTTTGCCCTAGCGTTGGATGGGCTGACACGACACATACAAGGGAGGGTGTCGTGGTGTATATTAATTGTTGATGACATATTTCTGATTGACGAGACGTGAGATGGTGATAACGCTAGGTTGGAAGTTTGGAGATAGATGCTGGAGTCCAAAGGTTTCAAGTTGAGTAGGTCGAAAACTGAATACTTGGAGTGCAAGTTCAGTGATGAGAGGCATCAAGAAGAAGTGGAAGTGAAGACTGATACTCAAGTCATTCCCACAAGAGATAGTTTCAAGTATCTTGGGTCCATAATCCAAGGCAACGGAAAGATTGACGAGGATGTTACTCACTGCAATGGAGTAGGTTGAATGAGATGGAGGCTAGCTTTGGGGTTTTATGCGATAAGAATGTGCCGCCTAGACTTAAGGGTAAATTCTATAAGGTGGTGGTTAGATCGGCTATGTTGTATAGAGCTGAGTGTCGGCCCGTCAAAAAGTCTCATGTCCAGAAGATGAGCGTGGCTGAAATGAGGATGTTGAGATGGATGTGTGAACATACCAGGAAAGACAAGATAAGAAATGAAGTTATTAGGGATAAGATGGAAGTGGCATCAATGGAAGCCAAGTTGCGGGAATCGAGGTTGCGATGGTTTGGGCATGTGAGAAGGAGAAACATAGATGCCTCGGTTAGGAGCTGTGAGAGGTTGACCATTGCAGGCTTAAGGAAAGGCAGGGGTAGACCAAAGAAGTATTGGGGAGAGGTGATTAGACATGACATGTTAGTGCTTCACCTAACCAAGGACATGACTAGCGATAAGAAGGTGTGGAGGTCGAGGATTTAAGTTGTGGGTTGACAGGTAGTTTTGAGTTTCTCCTAGGTTACCAGTAGTACTAGTAATATTCTTGTTGTTGGTTGAAAGTTACTTCTTTTTAGTTTGTTATTATATCTAGTACTTAGCAACCACATCCAGTGTTTTTGAAAATTGCTACTGGAAATTGTTGTTCCCTGATTATAAATACTTGATGCTACTCTTTCTCCCTTTTACTGGAAATTGTTGCTCTCTGATTGTTACTATCTGATGCTACTTTTTCTCCTCTTTTTCCTTATCGTCTTTTGTCTCCCTCATCTGTCTTTCTCCCCCCTCTTTCTTCTTCTTCTTCCCTTTTCTTCCTTTCCACCTTCTCTTGAGTCGAGGGTCTATCGGAAACAGTCTCTCTACCTCCCCAGGTAGGGGTAAGGCATGCGTACACATTACCCTCCTCACACCCCACTTATGGGATTATACTAGGTATGTTGTTGTATGGGCCTTGTGAACATCTCTGTTGTATTTTCTTGATGATGATTTTGTTACTTGAATACTTTATTGGGATGATTGCAGTGAGAATAAGAAACTTTTTAGATAATTTAACATGCATACTTCATGTAAATGTTCATTTTTTATAAAAAAAAAAAAAAAAAAAAAAATCTCAACTTATAGGCTCAAACAAAAATCCAAAATATCTAAACAGATTAATCCGAAACTGAAATTAAAAAATCCGATCCAATCCTAACTTATTTGGATTGGATTAGTATTTTTATTTCTTCAATCCGAAAACCAAAAATCTGAATCGAATTTTTTATATCTAATCCAAACTGCCCGAACGACCACCCCCACCCAACAGACATATATATATATACTCACATCATTCACCATTACTCGCCTCTTAATTATAAGAGCCACCATTTTTATGCCCCCACAATTACCGGTGATAGAAACCATCCAAAACGTCACCACCACAATAGCCACTTAAAGGCCTTAAGCCTCGCTTAGCAGCAAAAAAAAAGGAACAGATCAAGGGCCAAAAATTAGAACATAGCGTGAAACTTTGTTGTCTAGTTTGGTGGGGACAAAAGTAAATGAAAAAAGAGAAAAGAGAGAAAAAAATAAGGGAAAGAACAGAAAATATTTTTTTAATGAAATATACACTTGTCTAGGGCGTGTAGTTCACCTCCCAGCAGAAATCTGGTTGTAGTGTTTCAAGGGTGAATTTTTTCTATTTTAAAATAGTTCGGTGGTAATAGGACCCCCGAAAAGGAAAAATGTGTAGTTGGAACTTCGATCATAGGTTGGGGGATACTTAAGCATTTTCCCTTATAACATATCAAATCAATCCCAAACAAAGGTTTGTTGGTCAATTATAAAGAGTGCAAATCTTCATCGCTTTGTTATGACTGATGAACAAGCTAGAAAGTGACATTACACGTGCAGGAAGGATACAATATCGTGTATGCTATTGAAATTGGATCACATATTCAGGATTGTTTTGAAAAATTTTAACTTCTGAAATAGGACAGCAAGAAAATTTGTAATCATCTCATTCTTATTAGAAGCAGTAAGAAGGTACTGTTATCCAAACTGAAATCCATTATCTATCAAAAGGCAATGCCGAAACACCACCATATACTACACCATCCACACTCATTTCTCTCTATTTGCCTTAATTAACTTCCAAACTATCTAAGACAAAGATCATGGTGGTGTAAAAGACCAGCGAAGATAGACAGGACTCTGATCTGGATAGCACCCTATGAACCTATATAGATAACTTCCGCATTAGGTGATGCCCGCGGAAATTGTATTAGCTCTGTGGGTAACTCAAGTCTTGTTACAGGAGAATCTAACCTGGTCTCAATTACCATTCTTACGAGCATCAGAGACTTGGCTAATAGAAGCTTAATAAGCAACTTTTCACACTTTTTGCCTGTTGTATTTATCACCTTAACCACTCTTAGGTGATTTAATATTGGCACATTTGAAAAACCTTTTACTTCAAGAGAAACACAGCTGGTCTCCTGATCTAACCACCATATATTGGAAAGTTCATAGTCCAACTACAGATTAATAAAAGACCATCAGTCTGAACTAACATTGAGGATTTAAGATTATGAAATAAAAAAGGAATTACATACAGAAAACAGAGGAAAAAAAGTAGTAGTTTTTAAACCTGAACTTCAATTTCTTGTAAATATGGGGAGCTTCTGATCAAGCAAAGAGCACATAAAGTCCAACCTTCATCTACACAAACATCAGATAAGTAAAGACGCGTAAGAGCAGAGGGGAGCTCTTTTGGTACTTCACCTGCAACCAAGGACTAAAAAGACAATGCCATAAATCAGGACCACTCAAAGGCCAAAAGAACAACGGCAAAAGATGCACAATAATGAAATCATGGAGCAACATTTACCTGGACACCACACAATAATCCAAGTGGAGATGCCTTGAGAGCAGGAAAAGACTCAAAAAACTTGGCAAGACCATATTTTCCATGCCCCATAGAAAAATCCGTATTCACAAGTGAAAGTTTCGGAAGAAGAGGAGAATTTATTAGAAAAACAGAACCTTTTGCGAAGTCAAAGGATTTCAAACAGGGAGCAATAATTTGAATATTGCTTAAAAAACTATATGATATCTGCAATACCAAGTACTCCAGTAACGGGCAATCAACAACAACAACAACAACTACCCAGTAAAATCCCACATAGTAGGGTCTGGGGAGGGTAGTGTATACGCAGACCTTACCCCTGGCCTGATAGGACAGAGAGGCTATTTCCGATGGACCCTCGGCTCAGAATGACGGAAATAGAGAAAAACAAGGAAAACAAGAAAAGAAAAAAGAATTCATTGGTAACTCCAGTAAAAATCATTATAGTAACAGAAGCATAAAAATCAAAAGATGAATGACATGCAATAACAGTAGCCAGAGTCTAGGGAATCTAAGATAAACAACAAGAATAGTGTGGGTTCAACATAAACTGCCAACCATCTAAGATCAACCCCAATCCAACCCCGCCTCGCCCCCGGCATGCAGAAAGGCAAGCTCTACTACCCCTATCCTACAACTCTAATGCTAGTCCTCCAGGCATTCCTATCAAGGGCCATGTCCTCGGAAATCTGCAGACGAACCATGTCTTGCCTGATCACCTCTCCCCAATACTTCTTAGGTCTCCTTCTACCTCTTCTCGTGCCCACCACGGCCAACCGCTCACACCTCCTCACCGGCGCATCGATGCTTCTCCTCTACACGTGCCCGAACCATCTGAGCCTCGTTTCCCGCATCTTGTCATCACAGGGGCGACACCCACCTTTCTCCGAATATCTTCATTCCTGATCTTGTCTATCCTAGTGTGCCCGCACATCCACCTCAGCATC